ATTTAGAGGCAAAATGAGACATTTATATTTTTGTATATGACCGATAAGGCAGGTAGGTGGCTTAGTGACTAGAGTGCTAGACCTGAGTTCAAATTCATCTTCAGATGAATTCTTGTGTGACCTTAGCCAAAGAAGTATTTATTAAAGAGTATTTATTAAGTGCTTACTGTGTGCACCATTCTAAGTGCTTTACAAATATCTCATTCGGTCCTCACAACCTTGAGAGGTAGGTGCTATTATTATCCCCATTTTATAGTTGAGAAAGAAGCAGAAAGAAGTTAAATGAAATTGCCCGGATTACACGGTTTCTGAGGCCAAATATGAACCCAGATATTCCTGATTCTAGTTCCAGTTCTCTATGCATGGCGATATCTAGATGGAAGTCACTTAATCTTTATCTGCCTAGATTCCATCATTTATAAAATGGGGATAATAATACCGCCTGAGTCCCAGGGTTGTTGCAAGGATAAGCGAGATAATATTTTATAAGCATTTTGCAAACCTTAAGGCTCCATGTAAATGCTAGCATTGTTTTATAGCTATTAATTTGTTTTGCCTGACTATGCATAGTTGCTAGAGGGAATTTGTTTCTTTTTCTTTCTTTTTTTTCTGGAGGCTAGGGTAGGAGGGAGAGAGAACAGATTTCTGTTCATTTAAAAAATTTTCAAAATAGAGAAATGGAGGGGTGGATGCTATATATATGGAATGTTATATGCACTTTCAGATGAAGACACTACATTATTAGTTTTGTTTAATTATTTTGCTTTGTTCCAAAAGACCCTTCATAGAGTGGGGTTAATCTATAAATGTGTGTAATGTCAAAACAAAACATATCAATGCAACTTTAAAAAATCATGAGGAATATAATTCATATTTCTCAGACCTCTTTTTTGTTGTTTCAAGATTTGTCATTTTCTACCGCTGCACAGTTTGCCCATGTGGTCGTGCTAGGGTTTCATGTACACAGCACAAGAGGTATAAATCTTAAATGTTTACTGACTTGACTATCCTTTTTGCTTCATATTTCATTTAAACTACAAGTGAAAATAAATCCTATAGGAAAGAGCCCTATAATTTATTTTGTAAATCATGGTGAATGGTCTATAATTACTGTGATAAATAAAAGTCAGTACAATTTGCAATATCATGTCCAGTGGAAACACACTGGAGTAGCCTAATATCTTTCATCAGAAGCTCTACTTAGCAGAGACTCATGGCTTCTTTCTTCTTTGGCCTATTATAAAATCGATGTATAAAATGAATTTATTCAAGTATAAATGTGTCAGATATATTTGTTTGTGAAAATTAATGTGCTGTCAAATATGCATAAGCATACATCTTTAAAATAAGGTACAGGGATCCATTCAAATGTTTAGAAGCTTTTGCTAAAAGCTCAGAATGCTTGAAATTTTCATAATTTTTATATATCTCTCAGTGATTCTGTCTCTCTCTGTTAGTTACGTTATGCTATGTAAAATTATGAATTAAAGTTACCTTAAAAATACAGACATGATAAAAACCCATGATTCCATCAAAAGGTGATAAACGTGTAACTTTACATCTAAGAGCATGCATATTTGAAGTTTGCTTCATGTTTCGTGACAATATTTTAGTAATTAAAAATGAAAAGATAATAAAACTTATAGCAAAACACAAGTTCCACAATATTAACAAGATCAATTGACAAAAATAATGTCTATACATTTCTCTATAAGCTACCCAACTTTAGACTCTGCTTTTATGCAACACAGTTTTCAACAGAAACAATATCATTATCCAGCTAAATAGAATTTCAATCATAGATTTTGGGGGCTCTAAGAAAATCATTGAGTTGAATTAATTTCATTTAAGTTTTAGTTGGAAACTCATTTTTTTCCTAAATGGAGAGTTGTTGGACCTGATACCCTGGACTCTTTAGTAAAGTCAAAGCTGTTGATTTTGTAATTCCTTTTACTACACATATAGACAAACACACATGTGAGTTACTGGAACAATTGATTAACATTGTGTAGATATTTATGTAGGATCACCTACCTAAAGAGAGACAACATGTTATAGCTATTTTAAGATGCTAATAAGATGCTTAGATATCACAATAATTGAGTTTAAAGTATATAAAATATGTCAAACTAATCAAGACATATGATGTATTCAGACTGAATGAATTAATCAAAAAAGCATCTATCAATCAATCAGCATATGTTTATTTAGTCCTTCCTACATGCCAGGCATCATTATAGACTGGAGAGACAAAGATGAAAATGAAACTGTCCCTGACCTCAAAGAGCTGCTGTTCTATCTGGATAAGCAAGGTATCCATATCTAAGCATTTGAACGTTGTAAACGAAATTCTGTGAGCATAGATATGTATATTTGTATACATGGGTTGGTGGACCTAGGTATATTCATATTAGAACATATATGTATTTGAATGTAAGGGAGTAAGGGTGTCTGAGCATCTTTGTTTTTCAGCATAAGTATACATGAGTACATAGCTAATCAGATTTTTTTAAAGTTACGTATATATAATAGAAAACATTTCTCTGAAGATAGGTCTGTATGTACTCTCAAATACTAAATACTTCTCCTACCTGCCAGAATACTTATAACAATAATAATGACCTAGAACTTTAAAGTTTTCAAAGTAGTGTGCGTACAAATACGTCTATGTACTTATATATGTATACATATTACATATTATACACACACACACACACATATATATATTCTCATTTGAGCCTTAAAACAACCCCATAAGGAAGGTCATTATACTATTTTCTTTGTAAAGATATAGACTTTGAGTCTTAGAAATATAAAATGATTTTTATCTATGGTAGGTTTAGAACCCCTGCCTCCGTGTTAACAAGGCCAGCGGCACTGGATCTAAAAGGTCACGCTGACCACAGCCTACTATAAAAGATCATAACATCAAACAGCTTTGAACTCATTCATTTTAGCTATTAGTCATATCTTCTGCATACTATAATATACAGAATCGTGAGAAAAAAATCAATAAAGACCCTTTTTAGGTATAATAGTTTATTATCAAAAATTAGAAAAGTTTAGGGAAAAGGATAGAAAAATGTAAAATGATACAAAAAAGTGGTTAGTTTTAATGAAATAAGCATTGGAGTAGGAGCCAGGAGACTTTAATCTGTCCCCAGTCAACCTTGGTTAAGTAATATTTCTGGGCCTCTATTTATGCATCCGTAAGATAAAGAGGCTGGCACAGATGATTTAATATCATATCCCAACTACAAAATCAGTAGGATTTCAGTGGAGTTCCCAGGAAAATAGAAACTTGAGAAAGGTTGTTGGGGGATCTGTCATGTTCTCAAACTGGGAAGTTTCTTTTGTGGGACCAATTACTCACTCCTGAATGCATTAATCAGAATAATAGGTAAACTGGTAATAAAGCACCAATGTGGATCTGTTAATAAATATTGACCATTTTTACAAGTTATTTCTCAATAAATAGAAATATTAATTCTATCTCTTTGTTCTTAGATTCATCCTACAATGGAGATCAGAGAATCATAAAAATTCCATGAATATTTCTGAACCACCACCTGAGGGGGAAAAAAATGTTTGGTGATACCTTCCCTGCTGACTCTTTCATTGGATTTAGAGTGAAAGTCTCAATTTACGGATGAGAAAAACTGTTACGCAGGTAGGTAAAGGTATTTCCCCTAGTCATAGACGTAGTAAATAACAGAACACATTTTCAAGCTCAGATAGGGGAAGATGATGGATATATTAATGGAAAAAGCACTGAACAGAGAGCCAATGAACCAGTGTGGTTGATTGGGACATGTTCTAGACTTAGAATCAGAGTACTCATGTGAATTCAAATCCTAGTTCTGCTATTGATTTCTGTGACTTAGCAAGTCACTCTCTGGCCTTAATTTCTTCATTTGTATGAGAGTTGATGTTGATAAACTTTGTTTCCTTTTAAATTCTGTGACCTATGATTTGGGTTCAAATCCTGGCACAGATACTTGTGATTTTTTTCTGGGTCTCAGTTTCCTTATCTGTGAACTAAATGGGTTGTACTAGCTCACACCAGGATTGTGTGAACTTAAAAAAAATACTTTGATTACTTTATTTAAATATAATTGGGTTCCTTTACAACTCTGTATTTTATTTTATACATTTGAAAACATTATTTTTAGAAGGGCTCCATAAGCTTCACCAGACTGGCAAAGGACACAAAGTTAAGAATTCTAGGACTAGTTGATCTCTAATGTTCTACAGTTCTCTCAATAGCTCTTAGTTCTACAATTCAAGATTGATTTTTAATTCTATAACATAATGTTGCTTCCCTTTTCTCTTTTGAATGATCTCCTTCCATTTCAGTACTCATTATGCTACCCTGTACTGCTCACTGTATCTTAGGAAAAATGAAATTCCTATATTAGAAACTCATGTTTCAGTAAATGAAAATCTAAGCAATCTTTCTAGGGTAAATTTGGGTAGATAACTTCTAGACATTTGAGTAGATGACTCATCTATAATTTCATGTAGCAGTTCCTCTGATGCCTTCGGGGGCACCAAGTCCCTCCCAGCCTTTCCTGGTTTTCTTCTTGATGGGAGACCAGGCACAAGTGAGTATTATCTACAATACTGGATGGCAACAGCTGAAGACAAGGAAGTTGCCTGCCTGTGTCTTACCTGAGGTGTGTATGTGAGGAGGAGGAGGGAGAATGGGTGAGTCCCCAAGGTGTGTATACATGTTTCAAAGCCGGAATGTCTGTGGAATGGGAGGAGGGTGGGTAACTTTTGCCAGTCCCTCCTTCACTTTTTTCCTTGCCCCTTTGCTTTCAGCTCCTAAGACCTGCCCAGGGACGGACAGCCCGGCCTCAACTGTCACTCACATTTCTTCCAGCCAATGGCAGTCGCCTGTCACCCTCACCCCACCCCCTCCAGGGAATGAGGGGAGGGGTGTGCGTTGGGTAGGGGAGGTCTGAGGGGAGTGGGGAGGGGGGAGGGCGGGGGTGAACAGAGTTGAATGATTGAACTTTCTTTTTTAGTTTCTGCAGCAGTGAGGTTCCCCTAGTAGTCCAGCACCAGACCGGTGCATAGGAGCTTATCCAGGCGTCTCTTGCTCCTTATACTCCCCTTGTTCCCCCTCCCCACACACAAAGCGATGGTGTTAAAGGATCCAGGCGTGTTTCTGACCCTTTTGCTATGGATTACGGTTTCCTGGGGCTGCCTGGCTACAGCTGCGGGGCTTGGTGCTGCCGCCCGCAAGCAGGACGAGACTCTTTCTGCTGTCAGTATTTACAGAGCCAGATGCACCTCCAGGTGCCTTAGCCTGCAGATCACTCGAATCTCAGCCTTCTTCAAGCATTTCCAGGTATGGTTAAAAAAAAAATCTCCTCACTGCTTAAAAATACTAGCCGTCTCCATCTCTACCTCTAGCTTCCCGGCAGACACTTTGCCCCAGTGCTGTCTGTCCTCTGGTCTGTCACTTGCACTCCTCTGGACTTCCCAGCTTTGAAGGACTGGGGCGCGGGGGTGCGCTGTGAAACCGTGTATATTAGGTGGGAGTTGGAGCTTACCAAAGCCTCTTACAAAACTTCTCGGCAAAGATCGACAGCCTGCCAGAGTCCTGCCTTTTCCAGGGTTATCGTTCCAAAAGTGCAGATGGCACACTTTTGTTCTTCTCAGCTCACCTTCACTTTGGCCCTCTTCTCACCCTTAAGGGAGCCCAAAGTGGCATCTTTGGATTGGTTTATTTGCTTGTGAAATTAAAGCTAGCCCACTCCCAGTCCCCTACCCCAACCTCAACCCCTCCGAGAGATTGATTGGAGATGTGTATGTGTACTGATATTTCTGTATTGTTTCTTGAAATAGTTTCGCCAAACTATTAGCCCAGTTGCCCAGACTCCCAGGGATTAGCTGCATGTGTGGTTATTAGAGGTAGGATTGTTAGGAGGTGAGTCAGTGAGACAGAACAGGCTGTGGCGGAGGTACCTGGGCTTCTTCCTTGCAAGAAGAGGCACGAGAACCGTCATCCTTACTTCCCTGCAGGTGCCAGGCTGCGACCAGCTGTCGCCTCCCCCCCCCCCCCCCGAATCCCTTTGACATTCCGCGCAGGGCAAAATACAGACTACCCGGAGGAAGATCCCGGCGCCCATCAAATGCTTGGGGCAGGGTTGTTTTTTTTTTTTTTACCAATTAGCATGCATGGGTGTGTGTGTCTGTCCAGCTTCGAAGCCTTAAAGCTTTAGTCTCAAACTAATAAATGAGATGAGGTACGGGGGAGAGAAGAAAAGGTAGTGGGGGGTGGGGTGGGAAGTTGTTGGGGTTGGGTTATGCTTTCTCTATACAAACTCTGGATGAATCTCCGGGGAAGTAGCATGATATAGTAGAAAGAACATTGGGTTCAGAAGACATGGGCTCAACCATGTCTCTGCTACTTTTTACCTGTGTGACCCTGGGCAAGTCTTTTAAACTCTCTGAGCTCCAGTTTCCTTATCTGTCGAATAAAGGGGTTGGATTGTATAATTCATGGTCAATCGTGCTAGGCACTGTACTAGGCGCTGGGGATATAAACACAATGAATGAATCAATCCCCACTAGCCAGAAGAATCTTTAAAGTCCTTTCCAACTACAGCCTATGATTTACTAGCCAGTGTTTATTTGCATCTAAGATTGCCGTAGCACACTCTCTGCCTCTCCCTTCATCTCTGCCTTTCGGTCCCTTCTCTGTCCCTCTGTCTCTGTGTGTGTGTGTGTGTGTGTGTGTGGTGTGTGTGTGTGTGTGTGTGTGTGCGCGTGTGTGTGTGTGTGCGCGCGTGTGTGTGCGCGCGCGCGCATTCCTCTCTGCCTTTCAGTCGATTACTCTCCGTCTGCCCCTCTCCCTTCCTCTCTCCTTTTTCTTCTCTCTTCTCTTCCCTCCCTAGCAAAGAGCTGTTTTAGCATTGTTTAGCGGATGTCTAGCATTGAGTACTCCCTTTTAAGGTGAGAGATCTGTAAGAGGATCATAGGAAAAACAGAAAGCCTGATGAACCTGCTGGGAGTGGGAGGGCGAGGACTAGAAGCACATATGAGAGATGTGCATTACCAGGGGTGTCAGACCGAGGAAAACTTTGGCCAGCTGGTTCCAGAAGCAGTTCCCAGAGTGCCAACTGAAATGTTGCTTTTAGGAAATCATTTATCCAAGCTCATTATTTCTCTGTCCTCCTCCTTTCATCTCTACCTCCCCCTCCCTGTCTCACTTGCCCCATTTCACTTGAGATGCCCACCTGCTTTGTATGCAGAATTCCCCACTTGAGGTAATGCTACTACTACATCTAGAAGTGGAAAATGGATTGAGAGCCCTTTGCCCTGAGTGAATAAATGAATGAATGAAGGAAAGAACCACAAAATTAACAGATCGCTTCCCCCTCCGCCGCCCCCCCCCCCGGTCAAACACAAGAGTGTAAAGTGGGGTCCCTGAAAGTATCGTCAACCTTTGAAATTCCAAAAGATTTTGGGGGGTTACACTGGAAATATATGAAGCAGAAGGATAAGGTCAGGGGTTTTCCTTAAGACTCATTTAAAATGATCCATTGAATTAATCTGAGAGACCTAAACCTAGGAGAGCTAGTCAAAGATAGTCAAAGATAGGAACCAACTTTTGAAGAGAGTGTGTGTGTGTGTGTGTGTGTGTGTGTGTGTGTGTGTGTGTGTGTGTGTGTGTGTGAGAGAGAGAGAGAGAGAGAGAGAGAGAGAGAGAGAGAGAGAGTTTAAAAAAACCAAAGCTTTATCATCTTACAGGTTTCCTGGTACTTGACATAGTACTAGGATCTTTCTGAGTATATGTTCAAAGGAAGAACAAGAAAACAAACCAAAAAATAAAAAGCAAAGCTGTTTTAACCTGCATCTGGCTCAAAGAGAAACTACACAGAAGTCCTCCTGAGTGCTAAACTCTGAGCTACCTTTTATCAAAATAGAGAACATTGCCCTAGAAATGAATGGCTCTCTTGAAAAGATATCTTACCTTTGTGGTTTAAACAACAGCCACCTCCTAAGGAAATAAAAAAAAAAAAACAAAAAAGTCTATTCCCCCAGGGGATTATTATCTTTTTCTTTCTTTTTTTTATTGAATTGTCAGTTGTTGTAATTTATTTGTTTTACAGTTTCAGTGGCTAAAGAGCCAGTTTAGATCAAGCCAATTCCTAGTGAAAGGCTTTTTTTGTGGTTTCTTGGCATGATTTCTCTTCTGAAGTAAAACTGCTGACAGAATGCACATTGCCAAACAATAGTGATTACATTTTAATTAGCTGGGGTGAAATAAGCTGCAAATTACTCAGTTAGGACTTAATAACTGCTGTTTTTGTAATCAATTGCAAAGCCATTCTTGGAGTTTTAACCCTAACCTGGTAATGCCAATGTGATTTATCTAAATTACAGGGATTAAGCTCTTTTAAGATTAGAAAGGATGGTAGCTTGATCTTCTTATAAAAAAGCTAAACCTGGCATTGTCTTTTATTGAAAGAGGTGGGGGTGTCAAGGTATAGCATAAACTATACCTGTGTGTTATTTATAGCTAGACTTCCTTTGCTTCAGGCTTTTACAACCTGTTTCATCAGGAAAGGGGCCTTTTACTTTCTATTTTTCAAACATAAGCGGTTGGGGATTTTGAAGGTAGACACTTATTTTGTATGCAGATGCACCCAGTTTCCAAGGGAGTAAATTATCTCGTGTAAGAGACTTCTGTAAATGAGGAACATGCAACAGATTTCCCATATCACATCTCTGTTCTGAGATGGGGACAAAGAGATTTTATACTAGATAAAAAAGGGGTCATACTCTTGAATCTAGTGTTTAGGATGAGATGATTTTTAAGACTCCAAATTTTCACATAGAAAAGTATATATATCTTCAGCCATTCAAAATATAATTACTGTACCTCTTTTGGCCTTTAGTTGTGCAGCAAACATCTTTCATATTATCAACATTCTATTCTATTCTACATTTGCATTGCTTTGCGCTGGTATTTTAACAGCCTTTCTGAAAGGGAGTATCAGTAGGATAAAGCTATCCAGGCACACTACTGTCCTCAATGTTACATCTAATGTTCTTGCTTTTTCTCTATTGTTAGTGGGCCCTGGTCTGAAAATGAAATGATCTGGGGATCAGATCTCACTACTTACTTTTCTCAACTTAAACTTTACTTTGCAAAGTGCTTTATCGTCCCTTGAGCTAGAGTATGCACTTAGGATCATCTCTATTTTATATGTGCAGAAGGTGAGGCTCAAATGAATGAAATGATTTGCTCAAGATCACAGGGTAAGTAAATGATAGAACCAGGATGAGAGCTCAGCTCTCTAACGCTATGCTAGGAACTTTTCTAGTGAAAGCTGAAAAGTTGGACCTCATTCTGTGGCGCAGGGAGAGAGTTTTTCTTCTAACCATCAGCACCCCATCTAGGCTCCCAAAGAAAGTCCTGGGAGAAGTGGATTTGAAAAAAAATTAGCTTGCTACTCAGAAACTAGGAATAAAGAGGGTGCCTGTTTCCCTGCCAGGACTAAGGAAAGCTTAGGGAGAAAGTGAATGAAATAATGTTGGCATATGGAGAAATAGTAGAGTCTGCAATCCTGGCCCCAGGGTTCTAATATTTGATTAGTGTTAAGAGATACTTGCCTAATGGTACATTATTCACTCTATAATGCTGATGGGTTTGCTTAGGTAGCTTATTAGAGATCAGAGGATTTTCTTTTGCAATAATTGGAAGCTATTTATTTTGGCAAAAGAAGCTGCAATGGTGATTAGTTATTTCCACTTAAAGGGTCTGTGTCTTCTTTGACAAAAAGTAAACAAACAATTAGCTCATCGAGAACCTTCACAGCCACAAAATAGCCCCAGGCTCACAAAACTTCAAATTGGTGATTTTGTGGTGTGCACATACTCTGGAATGATGGATAGAGTCAAATGTGGAACAAATTTTCAATTAGGTGCTCAGACTGACAAACGTTCAAGGGAGTCAAAGTGGAAGAAGAGGACAAAAATCTACCTTAGTATTTTCTGGCTTTCATTCCAAGCTCTTTTGGCTCACCTTTCAAAACACTCTGAATTTGACCCAAATTAAATTCTACAGTATGCAATATAAGCCTTCCCTTTAAAGCTACATAAAACACATCAGTGGGTGATTCTATGTTTAAGAAATTTAAATGTTTTTGTAATGGCCCACATCACAACTCTGAATATAGGACAGGATGTTCAATAACTGTATTTGTTAATTATGTCAGTGTGCCAGTTCCTTAAAATGTAACTTAAGAAAAGTTCTTTCTCTGAAGGACTTAGCTAAAGACCTAGAGTTGATGTGATTCTTCTCAGCTTTGAAAACCTGTGTTAAAAAAATCATAA